GTATGCTGCTATACCAAGGTCCAGGGTTCTGTAGACCAACCAGCTCCCTCACTCCCTCAAAAAGGAGCTTGAAGATTGAGAGGATGCTTAAAAAGAACAGACATACTTCCTGCAGGAAATGTCTGTCTCAGCCAATTCTCACATTGAAGTCTCTTTTTTGTCCAAACTGTACATACTGATGTTCAAGTCTTAATAGTGAGCTGATGGTCTCTATAGAGAGTCCAGATAATGTATTTTGCATTTGTAAGGCAAGAGGTGATTCCTAATATTATATGTGAGCTATTGCTTGTCTACTATAATTTGCCCTGATATGAAAAAATGTGAATTTTTTTTCATCTAGCAACAGAGTATCTTCTAACTTCTAGTAGTTCGTGGAAGTTGGGGGCTGAAGTACCTCAGTGTGATTGTTTTCCATGTACAGTCAGTGTAGGTTTTCTCAAATTCAAACTGGTTATCTGAATTTTTTTTAAAAACTATAATTAGTTGTAAGTCCTTAGGAAGAAACCATTTGCAAACATTTAATTTAAATGAGAATACACTTCATTTTTTAAATTTCTTTTTACACTGTAGTTTGAACTTATTTTATATTCCTTTGTAGTAAAACATAATTCATTTATATAGGCCTTAAAACCACACACAGTGGTTCTTATTTGAATTGTGTCTTCTGTAACAGGTTTCAATAAAGTTGGACCAAATTATCATTGTCTTTGCCCATTTCCTCACCCATAAAGAGGGACATGTTCTGGAATTCCCTTACTCTGGACTATCTGTGTATGAGTTCTGAGGGGAATCTATGAGTAATGTGCAGAATTTACTTGTCCATTTTGATTTGACAGTTGCTACTTAGCTATGGCTTTTCATTTGAGGAGAGAGTGCAGATGTTCTTGTCAATATGATAAAAGATGTACCTAGCAACCTTCTCTATTGATGGAGAAATAAATTAGTTTTTTTCCAGAAAACATATGCTCTGGATGATTGGAAGGGAAGGGAAATAAGGGTTGAATTAAGAGGACCTGATGTTTCTTGGGCTTGAGGACACTGAATATGAGTCTTTTCATTGCATTCTTCTTACCTATTTGTCAGGAACAATATCTGACCCATTTCTCACTTTAATCAGAGAAAGTGAAAATTCACACATGTATGCTAAGATTAGGGAATACAATATGTGGGTGAAATGTCAGATCTAGCCAGACTGGGATCTGTAGACTTACTGGGTCCCTATACATTATTAGCTAAAGCATAAAACTTGAGACTTGCTTTAGAGTACTAATACCCCATATGGTAGCCATTAGCCACTTGTAGCTATTTAAGTAAAATAAAATTAAGCATTCAGTGTCTCATCATACCATATTTTAAATGTTTAATAGCCACATGTGGCTAGTGGCTATTGTGACTGATGAAAATACAGAACATTTCCATCACTGCAGAAGATTTTATTGGATACTGCTGCTCTACAGGTAGGCTGCTTAGGGCCCACTGTTCACTGTTCTTAAATGAACCATGTCATGACTGGAATGTCACTGGGAAAAAATACTACTCAACAAACAGTACATGTCAATTCAATACAAGAGAACACAAGTTTATAAAGGCATTTAGTTTATTTCTCAAAAAAATATTTTGCTAGAAGGGTTGAACACTGTAATTTTACATGATAATTTTTCAATAAATTCTTTTTCTGACCAACAGGTACCGTTTTAAGTGAACAGCTTGTCTAGGTCTGATTTTGTAACATCCAAATACAATGAGCACTTCCCTGATGGTATTCCCTAGGTCTTCTTAATCATCTACAGGCCAGGAGGCAGAGCCTACACACAACAAAGTATGTGCTTTATAACTGCTGAATTCAGTTTCTTATATAATTAAGCAGAGCAGGTAATCAGTAGATCTAATCCACATTATTAATACACAGTTTCTCACCTGAAGGGTCTGACCACCCACCCAGATCCCCCAATTACTTCTAACCCAGGGAAGCAGTGAACCACAACTGCAGAGAAAAAGGGCAGCTCAGATTAGGCTAGTGCTGGCTGTATCCCAGTTAGGTCTGTTTTTGTTTTGTCCCAACTATAAATTCAAGATGACCATGTTACTCATATGCAATGTTAAGTAGAAAAGCCAAAAAATGTGATTTAGGGATTATTGGCAGCAACTGCTTCTTTTTCCTTCCTTAAAAGGCTACCTGAAGGTTGATTACCTATAATTCTTGACAGAAGTTAACTAAAAGTTGAATTAAATCTACAATAGATTCAACAAAAGGAAAAACCACTGGAAAGCAGCAACTATTGCCCGATAAGTTTGCTGATGGAGAGGACCAGGCAGCTTGTTGAAGGCTTGTCTTAAGTAGCTTTTAGTTTGTACCATCTCCAAAAGCATAAGGTCTGCATACCTTGTGGACACCTAAACAGTTCAGTGCCAAGCTAGTGACAGTAAAGTAATGTCTGTCTCTCACCAACAACCCAGAATATATTTCAAAAATGCCTTTGTTGCAAGGAAGCAATTATTGCAAACATCAGGACAAAGGACATTTTAATCTAGGACTTGAGCTAAACAGAGGTTTACAAGAAATCACAAGAAGAGAGGGAAAAGCAACTATGTGTGCTGAAACCAAGTTTCATGAATGACAGAAACATTTTAAAAAACACTTAAAATATTCGTTTAGGCTAAACCAAGCGAGGCAGTGCACTTCAAGGTGCCCATTAAGCTGGAAGTGAGTCACTGGACTTGGACATCTTACCTAAGGGTCTCTATGCTTATCCCTGCACACCTCAAGTGCTGACAAGATAACCACTTCTCCAGTTGGAGGAAATGGCAACTCAAGCTCTGGGTGTTAAGGTCCTTACAGGAACATAATTCTGTCTCTTCTGTATGCCTGGTTCTGTCAGTGAGCAAGTGAGATACTTCCTCACTCTGAAGTACAAGACATTTCAAATCGACAGCCTAGTTACTGGCTACTTTGGTAAAGCCCAAAACAAAAAATCAGAGGCAAATGTCTCACATACAAATTTTGAAAAAACCTCACGTTTGTACATCACGTCTTAAAAATCTCAAGAATCTTTCCCACTTTAAAGTGTCATCTTTCCTAATGCTGACACAACCCTACCTGTAGCAGCATAAAGTGCCTCTACTCTCAGGCTTTTTAATGACTTGAAGCACAATAAGAAATACTGACCTGGTTCTATACTAAGGAGTCTAAGTATGAAGGACTCGGGAGAGGAAAGTGCTGGGGCTACTTCCCCGTGTCCACACTGGTGTTGGGAACCCTGCATGTAAACATGGTCTGACTCAACCTTAAACTGTTGGCAGTCAGCCCTCTCAGCCATACCCTATAGCCAACTTAAACATTTTAGCTCTTTGTTTTTAACACCCCACACCTAACCAGGTATAAATTCAGGTATCTTCTGCCATTTACTTGATATTTTTCTGTACAAGCTTCTGAGTTTCTTACATATATATTTGTTGTTTTTCCTCCCCAGATTCAGAAAAGATAATTGGGTAGGTTTAATATACGTTTTATTTCCTTTCCTTTCAAATATGTCCTAAAAGGCCAGACTAAAGATAGATCCAGTACTTTACTCCTAATGCAGCTAAGTGCAAAGACAGGTCCACTTCAGCCTTTTCCCAGAAGATGAGGTTCAACAGAAGAGGAAAAAGAACTCATGTGCTAGAGTTTCAAGACTGGTGACAAAAAAGCCAAATGAGCCCTGCATTTTGCTAAGATCACTAAAGATAAACCTCTAGTACATTTGCTGCACTCTCATAGAATCAAGTTGTCTTTACTACCTTCCCTCTTCACCACCTGCAAAAGACCTGAAGTCAGTCTTTGACTTTGAATGTTTATATTTTAAACACCCCTGAAATAGAAAAGTATTTGGTAAATCTTTCATATGGTAGGCAACAAAAGGGAAGTGACAGTTTGCAAATTACCCCTAGAAAGGCTGAACTCATTTGTTTGACCCCAGATTTGAGGGATGTTAAGTTCTTTTAACAGGTCAAAAACAGAAAAACCCAGGGAATTCAATGTCCTAGCAAAAGTCTTCATA